TCTCTCTCATATATATATATATATATATATATATATATATATATATATATATATATATAGGGAGAGAGAGAGGGTAAAATAAAAGGTCCCTATTATTTAATGTAGTAATATTTATTTATAATATATGTAATTTACAGGGAAGAATTAAAATTAAAACTTTGTTACTTACAAATGGATTTTCAGTGGTTTTTTTTAGAAAAAATACTTCTTGTTTTCTTTTTTTACTTTAACTGGTTTTGATTAGATTTTCAAAATTTTTTAACTATTTGTATCTCCACGTGTTGATGTTTATGTTTTGAATAAAAGAAAAAAAAAACCAAAGGGCGTAACTGTCTATATACATCGATTATGGTAAGTAGAATTTGGTAGATTCCATTTCTGCAATTAATTAAGTATTGGTTTGTATTTGTTGATGAAAAATATTTCCGTATTAATCCGCCTTTGTTCAGTGGTTCTGTAGTCGCACTGGTAGGATGTGTAGACACTAACATTTACTGAGTGAGCGATTTATTTAGATTTAAAAGGAAAATACAACCTCTTTTTACGAAAAAAAGAAGGTTATAATCTTTGTAGCTAATAACCGATACAATGATACAGACATAAGGAAAACCCAGACATTCGTTGTCCAGTTGATGTAGATTTATCTGTAATTACGGAAACGTGTGATTTTAGCTGCGTCTTTAAAACCCAGTAATTTTTAAAAATTACTCCAAAAATCGGCTTGAGGATGAATGAATCCACGTTCCTTTAATTTAATTGCAAAATTAAATTCGTGCTTTTAGCTTCTATTTATGAACCATGGTTAGAACTGTAAAGAAAAAAACATATTTTAAATCAATTAATTTACACATATATATATATATATATATATATATATATATATATATATATATATATATATATATGATAAAAAAATATAGTTTTAAAATTGCTATATCTATGGATTAATGTGCACAACATCAGGATATAATGTATGCAAATATAAAAGTGGACATGAAGGTAAATACTGAAGATTGCGTTTAAGCATGAAATTGACTGTCGGCGTAAGTTGACCTCAATGCCCACTTACTTTGTATATATATATATATATATATATATATATATATATATATATATATATATATATATAATTTTATAAGTCTGTCAAGATGACTGATTCTACATCCCACATATTCGTACATACAACATAAATTTCGTGAATATCAGGAACTACATAAAACAAAAACGTTGAATATGATGAGATGCGTTATTATGTAAAAAATCACTTAAGAACACGGCCCAAATGAATTGCTTACACAGCATTTTTATACTAGTCTTACACAAACCCTTGACCAGTGGATGGAAAGATTGCTGGTGAATTCGTCCACGAGATTCTGGAGTCGGTTTGTTGAAACTGGCACCAAACAGCTGAGTGACAAAATTTATATTTGCATCAATTCTCTCTCTCTCTCTCCTTCCTTACATACATATATATATATATATATATATATATATATATATATATATATATATATATATATATATATATATATATATATATTGTAGGACAATATAAATAAATATCTAAATTTCATTTATTACTATTAATTTGGTATCTTCAGATATCGATTAAAACATTGCTTAGCATAAAAATATCATCTTCCAGAAATGCTCTGACTGACCTGACTTTTTTGGTGAAACAAAATCTTTGTTATATACATACATATATATGAAGAAAAACAAACGTACATATAAGTTTTAGATCAAAATAAAATTCTTTTCGTTTTTCATTCAAAATACTCAAAACTTTTAGGAATACGTTTTCACAACATCGCCCACGTGATGACGACGTGATCATATTTAAAGGGAACGCTGATCTTATAAAAGATTTTATTTATCTGTTTGGATTGGGATTGGTATTGCTTTTATGTCCATCGTCTTTTTTCATGTTGAATTGTATATGGTCTATGTTAATTATGTTTTATGTCCTGAAGATGGTCCATTAGACCGAAAACGTCCGAAGCTTGACATTAAACATTAAAACAAATATAATCGCATATTAGATTTTTGTTGTTTTTTCAGTATATTCTTCATACTGTCGGATCTATATCCATATATTTTCTTATATATATATATATATATATATATATATATATATATATATATATATATATATATATATATATATATTTATATATATTTAAATATATAAATATATAAAAAATATCATGTATAAATATTTTCTGTTCGTTTCTTACATTCGATACCCTATAACGTCAGCAGAAAGTTACACATCATAAACAAATACTTATAAGAATAAATATTTTAATATTATTCATATTAACATTATGCTGCTCAAATGGACTCATCGCTAATCTCTTGCAGACGATGTTGACGACTCTACCATCTTATTGCCAAAGCTATTTGCCATCTTCATTCCTTAGTCTCTATCCTTTAAGACAGGCATAAAGAAATGCAAACACGGTTTGTCCCAGGATTCCACTGATTCTTGCATTGTCATGTGTGAAATATTTGAAGTGCATGTGTGTCCAAACAAAATAACTTTTAAAACGTGGGACAATCAAATACAGGTTCAAACAAATTTGTGAGAAAATATCTTGAAAATTGTTTTATCTAAAGACAAAGACTATATTTTTACATTGAGAAAAGGGATTAATCTATTTTCTATGAAAAACGCTAAAGATCTTTTATTATTTATGAGAAAATAAAATCGAGCTTTTCTAAGAAAGAGGCTAAAAGCAAGAAATATATAAAGTTCAGAAGATATCTGTCTGCCTGAGTTTTTAGAAAAGGCTACATTTTGTTGACAAAATAATAGGTGTGTTTGTAAGTTTTCATCAAGGTGATAAAGCCACTCAAGATGCAAACTGAGAAAACTTTATTGAGGGAAAGGACACAAAGATCAGTTTTTAAGAGTGATGCTTAAAATATTTAATATATTCTTTTCGAAATGAAACCGGGTGTTTTCTGATTTTAAAATAATACTTCTTTTTTATAAAGACTGAAGACGAATCTTTCTTTTAGAAAAAAATATAGTCGGTTTCTTTTAAAAAATGAGACTGGGTTTTTAATCCATGATAAAAAATATTTAGTTCTGAAGATTAATCTGGATTTGTATTTTCCTGAAAAAAATATTTGGATTGTTAGAAATGATGATGGAGTCTTCATTTTGCAAGAAAGGAAGAGTAGTTTCTTTATAGAATTGAGGATGGATTTTTTCTTTGACTTTTTCTATGAGTGTGTTTTCAGGACATAAATGATCATGACTTTTCCCACCTGCCATGTCTAATAATGGATGTCAGTTATCAGTTATCTCCTGTTAATTCCCTCTCCAAGCCTCCACCAATTTAACCAGGTATTGAACTCATACTCTTTGGGTCTTGTCACTGGATCTAATCAACGCCTTTATCCACTGTGCCATGTGTCCTTGAAAACATCTGATCCCTTAAGTTTACGAAATTTCCAATGGTGTCTATAATCTCAACCTGATCCCACCGAGTACGGTGATCTCCCTTTTCTCTCCATATGTGGTCAGCCACGCCTGATATTTCTACGTCCCCTCGAGTTACAGCTTTCTGGTGTTCTTGAAGCCCTGACTTGAAGCGACCTCTCTTCCCTTTATATTTCTTTCCGCAGCTGCACGGGATAGCGTACACACAGTCGTTAGTCATGTTCCCCTCTATGGACACATACAGATATTCTCAAGGATACAGGCACAGTGGATAAAGGTGTTGGTTAGATCCAGTGACAGGACCCAAAGAGTGCGAGTTCAATACCTGGTTAAGGCGGTGGAGAACTTGGAGAGGGGAATTAACAGGAGATAACTGATAACTGACATCCATTAAAGCATGGCACGTGGAACTAGAACAGTGTACCCCAGTGAGCGAAATAAAGGGATCAGTTCGACATTCCAACCAGCTGAAGAAGGCCGGAGCGTACAATGACCGATACGTTGTAATAAATATGGCAACAAAGACGAGGACAATAGTCTGAATAATGTCAGTAGTGTAGAAAAACAGAAACATTGATTGAATCGAAAGAAATGACATCTGAGTTTAAACAATTTTGACTTTTCGAAATCAAAGTCAATTATGTGGGTCATAGCTTATCAGCAGATACGTAAGTTGATATCTTTGCTTCCATAAGGGTCTCTTACAAATGAAATCTTTATTTATCATTAATTTATAACAATATTTTGGTCTGGCTTCTTATAACGGAGCAAATCTGTTTCAGTTAACCTCAAAACTCATGAATTATATAAATGGAACTTTTATAGGAAATGGAAATGAAAAGAAAACTTATACTTAGAATAAGGCTTGGCATAGAAATATAATGAAACAGTGAGGCCACATCGCCTACATCATAATAAGGTACGGTATAAAAAAATGGGGTACGATATAAAAAATGGGGTACGGTATAAAAAATAGAAAAAATGATGTCTTCGCCGGAATTGGCACTTTCATATATTAGTTCTTATTCTTCGAATTACGCGTAGATGTATATCTATGTTTCGATGTTTTAACGAATATCTATTTTTGAGGAAAGTGTATTGGTGTGCCTTTCAGTAATAAATTATTGTTTCAATTTATTTTACACCGCATTTGTTTTAACGATATATATTCACTCAGCTGGAGCTAGCGTCGGATTTTGGTTTTAAAAACGTTATTTATTTTGAAAAAGGAGAAAAAGAAAAAAGAAAAAGAAATTCCTGGAGTTTTCGAGTTGGTTTTTTTTTTTTTTTATTATTAAACTTATTATTATTTTCTTCTTTGCTTCTCTCGGGCCGCCGGTGAAGAATTCTAAGAAGGAGAGGCTCGGATTGTGCCTTCGAATGCGAAAAAAAATCAATGAAATATTTTTAGCATCGATCAAATTTTTTTCTGAAATAACGTAAACAAATTTACATCTACGGAAGATGCTTTCCTGTTACGTTTTTTTTTGTTTTTTTTTTTTTCAAAATGATAACATTTTTTTGCGTGAGTTTAGCATAAGACATTGCATTAGATTACTGAATATGGGTTTCTGCACGTTTTAACAATTGTCACGTCATTTGTAATATGACAAGTACAGCGAGTAAGATTGGGAGAAAATATTGAATAAATAAGGTAGATAACTCTATGTCGTTTTATAGTGAGATAGAAAAGAAATACTTCCTCAACCATACTCTTTGTCTTTTTCTAGTCAGTCATGCCACGCCCATTGTATGAAACCACCCTCATTCCGTTCATATTCCTTTAGTGAGAGAAGTTTTGCTCGAGCAGTTTCATCCCACGAACTACTACTTTATTGAACCAACTCCCAAGAGGATGCTTCACCAATCACTACAATATTAAGTTTTTTCAAATTTAGATACAATCGTTATTGTTCCACATATCGCCATAAATTGTGCCGGTTACGTTGTAACACTCGACTTCGAGTGGCTCTTTGTTCTTCTACAGTGTGGACATCATTGCAAAGAAAAATATTTCAGAAAATCTACAGATAAATAACATTCCCTCCCACTTAAAGAATTCAACTTTCTCCTTCGATCATTCTATTTGTGTTTTGATTAATGTTTTTTTCTAATCGATTCACCCTACGCAAGAGAGTAAAGCCACTAAGACACAAAAGAATAAGAGAGAAACTAGGAAGAAAACTGGGAAGTAGTCTGACAGATGAGGGTAAGTGCAACACTCAGATCCAAAAAAAAACATATTGCGATGGACAAGGACGCATTCCAAAAGCTAGATAACGATTGACATTGCATTTAAATTTCTGCACATCAAAATTGGATGGATGCATGAATCCGGAAGACAATTTCCCAAATGAGAAGCAAGAGAGAAGAAACTCTTAGCAATAACCTTACGTTTAAATCTATCCAATTCAACTGTCAATTGATGAGACCTAGCAGCCAATCTAGTACTGCGCTTAAATTCATAAAGTCTAGGTACCATAGCAAAGTGTTCATCCGAACAATTCTACCTTCTTCTTCAATGTACGGCGTCACTTAAGGGCGTTGATGATCATGTTTCTCCACAATTTTATATCCTTTGTAGCAGCCTTTCTTTTCTTCAATACGCCCTGTGAGCATCATATTTTCCAAACCATCTTTTCACATTTTAAAATTGCCTCTTCCTGACATAACATACGTTAATTATTTACACTGTTCGGACTATTAACGTAATCGTTAATGCCATATTCATGACGTCTCAACTCCAGATTTCTTCAGATGATTGCAAGGACACATTGCCCAGTAGATAAAAGCGTTGGTTGGATCCAGTGACCTTCACCCAAAAGAGTTATGATTTCTCATATTACTGCAATAGTAAACAAATACTTGAAAAGTTGAGGTAAAGGGAGATAACTGAGACATCCGTAAGAGGCGTGGCAGGTTTAGCTAGAACAATCTACGCCGGTAGACGAAATAAAAGGTTCAGTTCGACATTCCAATCACCTGTAGAAGGCCGGAGCGTACAACGGCCGAAACGTTGTGAATATGGCGATAAGAATGATGACGACAGTCCGAACAATATGTATAAAATAATTGTTTCTTCCTGATGTTTAGTATAAGTGTCATTTTCATTTCTATTTTCTTTAAAACTTTGTCGTTGCTCACATTTTTGGTCCAATGTATTCCCAACATCCTTCTGTAGAACCACATAATTATCACTGCAAGTTTTTTCTTTATCCGTGCGGAAATAGCCCAATGTTCGCTTCTATATAGGAAAATTGTTATTGCATAACATTTCAGTTCTCTATTTACATTATTCAAACTATTGTCCTCATCTTTGTCGCTATATTTATTACAACGTTTCGGCCGTTGTACGTCCCGGCCTTCTTCGGGTGGTTGGAATGTCGAACTGAACCCTTTATTTCGCTCACTGGGGTAGACTGTTCTAGTTTCACGTGCCATGTCAAGGACACATGGCACAGTGGATAAAGGCGTTGGTTAGATCCAGTGACAGGACCCATAGACTGCGAGTTAAATACCCGCTTAAGGGTGGAGAACTTGGAGAGGGGAATTAATAGGAGATGACTGATAACTGACATCCATTAAACATGGTACGTGGAATTAGAACAGTCTACCCTAGTAAGCGAAATAAAGGGTTCAGTTCGATATTCCAACCATCTAAAGAAAGCCGGAGCGTACAACAGCCGAAACATTATAATAATTATGGTGACAAAGATAAGGAGAAAAGTCCGAATAATGTAAATAGTGTACATAATACCTCATCTCAGAAATATAGACAGATACTGAAGGGCCGAAACGTTGTAATAAATATGGCGGCAAAGTTGAGGAGAAAAGTCCGAATAATGTAAATAGTGTACATAATACCTCATCTCAGAAATATAGACAGATAGTGAAAAGCCGAAACGTTGTAATAAATATGGTGACAAAGATGAGGACAATAGTCGAATAATGTAAATAGTGTACACAATACTCATCTCAGAAATATAGACAGATACTGAAAAGCCGAAACGTTGTAATAAATATGGCGACAAAGATCAGGACAATAGTCCGAATAATGTAAATAGTGTACATAATACCTCATCTCAAATATAGACAGATACTGAAAAGCCGAAACGTTGTAATAAATATGGTGACAAAGATGAGGACAATAGTCCGATAAATGTAAATAGTGTACATAATACCTCATCTCAAATATAGACAGATACTGAAAAGCCGAAACGTTGTAATAAATATGGTGACAAAGATGAGGACAATAGTCCGAATAATGTAAATAGTGTACATAATACCTCATCTCAGAAATATAGACAGATACTGAAAAGCCGAAACGTTGTAATAAATATGGTGACAAAGATGAGGACAATAGTCCGATAAATGTAAATAGTGTAGATAATACCTCATCTCAGAAATATAGACAGATAGTGAAAAGCCGAAACGTTGTAATAAATATGGCGACAAAGATGAGGACAATAGTCCGAATAATGTAAATAGTGTAGATGATACCTCATCTCAGAAATATAGACAGTTCAGTTCTCTTTTTTTCTAACGAAATTTTTATGTTTCTTAATAGTTTGCTTAGATTTTGGAAGGCACCTTTCGCTACCTGAATGCACCTTCAGATTTCACTGTTAACTTCCCGTCAGTAAAAAAAAAGGTCGGGGACATTAAAATCACGCATGTGCAGAAATTCCAAAATCTGGCAAATGTTCTGGCAAGTGAGGACGTTAAGTACGACGTTGAGATGCGAAGACATGTTGGGATCTACAAGGACGCATTCCAAAAGCTAGGCAGATAATTACAAAGAAAAGCGTACTGAACTGCTACGTGATAACTGTCCTTCTTTTCGACAGCAAGTGTTGGACTGTCTCCTCAAAGATCAAGAAGAGACTCGAGGCAACAGAGGTATGGTTCAGAAGGATGCTAAGGATACCATGCACCGAACGAGCAACGGTGAGGCTTTGGAGATGATGCAAACAAGGAGGAAGCTTATACTTATCAAGAAGAGGCAGCTGAAAATTCTGGGATATGTTTTGAGAAAGGAGGAGTTGGTTAATTGCATATATATGACGACGGACTCTCCCATTGAGTTCGACGTATGAGGTTCCGACGATCAGGAACAAATTATCTGCATACCTATGACGGGCATGACTTTGAGACGGTCAGTGTTGCACTTATCCTCCTCTGTCAGAACCCCTCCCAGATATTTAAATTTCTTCACCTGATTGATTTTAGTGTCCCCGACCAGTAATTCGCATTTTGGGCTCATCCTTTTTGCTGATGACCATGAATTCTGTCTCTGATAGTTTATCTATCTAAACTGACCGGGAATTGCAGTGACATCAAAAGGGGCTTCAACTTATCAAGGTTAATCTTATAGGTAATACACATGGATTGCAGAATACTCTCACATATAGAGATACATCAGGATATATATATATATATATATATATATATATATATATATATATATATATATATATATATATATATGGAGTCAGACTATGTAAAAGCAATTCGGTTGAGAACTGGCAGGGACTTGTTTGCCCTTGATGAGGGTGAAAGAAGTATATCTATATCTATCTATCTATCTATCTATCTATCTATATATATATATATATATATATATATATATATATATATATATATATAAAGAGAGAGATATATATGTAAAATGTATGTGTTTATAGATAGATAGATTAAATGTATATGTAGAAATGTACGTGTTTATATATATATATATATATATATATTAAATGTTTATGAAGAAATGTATGTGTTTATATATATATATATATTTAGATAGATAGATAGATAGATAGATAGATAGATAGATAGATAGATAGATATGAAATATATATATAGAAATGTACGTGTTTTATATGGATGGATAGATACATAGATATTAAATGTATATATAGAAATGTACGTGTTTTATATATATATATATATATATATATATATATACATACATAGATATTAAATGTATATATATATATAAATGTACGTGTTTATATATGGATAGATAGATATTAAGAACAAACAAAATGTCCTTAGCAACTAGAAAAATTTAGAAAGACGCTATTGTATTCATATTGTCAACTAAAAATTACGTCAAGTACTATCACGTATAGATAGATATGTAAAGATTACTATATATATATGTGTGTGTGTGTGTATGTGTGTGTGTGTGTGTGTTTGTGCGTATATGCGTATGTTTGTGTGGGTGTGCGAATTTTACAGAGGTAGATAGATAGATATGATACAAAAAAATGATAGCTAAATACACCCTTGTGCAAACTAACTGAAACAACAGCTTTAGTTTCCTTTCTTACACAATACGGTCAGTTTTTGATCCACTGGAGTGACAGGGCGCAATCGATTTCTATTTTTTCCTCAGATTAGGTCATTTGCAGTGGTGTGCAGTAATATGAATCCATTTTCAGGGTGTACGATGAAATTTGTTTGATCTTCAAAAATATTACGTCATCCGTGATTGCATCAGATTTTTATCACGCCGAGACTCTATTGTCTTGACTATCGATTAGTAGTCCTACGACCATGGTCTACGATAGGCGTTACTCCAAGGTAGCTTACAAAAATTGTAACGCTGCACGAAAATACTGGCAAGTCATACCAGTGTGTAAATCAAAGTACTATCGACTGGCTCGAAAACTATACTGATTTAAATCCAATCGAGAATCTGTGGTCAATTTGCGAGGAATGACTTCGTGAAATGGACATACGAATTACAAACATATGCAATGGGTCAGGTTCCATTGGAAAAATCGAAAAAAATAAATAATAAAAGAAATTCTTCGTTTTGTTACAATTAATTTGCACAATGGTGTAGACAGATATAAAAAAAAAATGATAGATAGATATGTACAGACTGACATAGATAGATAGATAGATAGATAGATAGATAGGAACAGGCTGAAATAGATAGGTAGATAGATAGATAGGAACAGGCTGAAATAGATAGGTAGATAGATAGATAAGAACAGGCTGAAATAGATAGATAGATAGATAGATAGATAGATAAAGAAAAGGCTGAAATAGATAGATATGAAAAGGCTGAAATAGATAAATAAGAAAAGGCTGAAATAGATAGATAGATAGATAGATAGATAGATAAGAAAAGGCTTAGATAGATAGATAGATAGATAGATAGATAGATAGATAGATAGATAGATAGATAGATAGATAAGAAAAGGCTGAGATAGATAGATAAGAAAAGGCTGAAATAGATAGATAGATAGATAGATAGATAAGAAAAGGCTTAGATAGATAGATAGATAGATAGATAACAAAAGACTTAGATAAATATGAACAGACTGAGATAGATAGATAGATAGATAAGAACAGGCTGAGATAGATAGATAGATAGATAGATAGATAGATAGATAGATAGATAGAAAGAACAGGCTGAAATAGATAGATAGATAGATAGATAGATAGATATGATAGATAGATAGATAGAACAGGATGAAATAGATAGAACAGGATAGATAGATAGATGGATAGATGGATAGATAGATAGATAGATGGATAGATGGATAGATAAGAACAGGCTGAAATGGATGGATGGATAGATGGATAGATGGATAGATGGATGGATGGATGGATGGATAAAAGAAAGGCTGAAATAGATATGAAAAGGCTGAAATAGATGGGTAAAGAAGGGGCTGAAACAGATACATGGATAGATGGATAAGAAAAGGCTTAGATGGATGGATAGATAGATAGATGGATAGATAGATGGGAAAAGGCTGAGATAGATGGATGGAAAAGGCTGAAATGGATGGATACATAGATGGATGGATAAGAAAAGGCTTAGAGGATAGATAGATGGATGGATGGATGGATGGATGGATAGATGGATGGATGTGGGGGCTTAGATGGATAGATAGATAAGAAAAGGCTGGGATGGATAGATAAGAAAAAGGCTGAAAATGGATAGATGGATGGATAGATAGATGGATAGATAGATGGATAATGAGAAAGGCTTAGATGGATAGATTGATAGATGGATGGATAACAAAAGACTTAGATAGATAAATATGGACAGACTGGGATGGATAGATAGATAGATGGAACGGGCTGGGGGGATGATAGATGGATGGATGGATGGATGGATGGATGGATGGATGGATGGATGGATAGATAAGAACGGGCTGGAATGGATGGATGGATGGATGGATGGATGGATGGATGGATGGAACAGGCTGAAATGGATGGATGGATGGATGGATGGATGGATAGATGGATGGATGGATAGATGGGAACGGGCTGGAATGGATGGATGGATGGATGGATGATGGATGGATGGATGGATGGATAAAAGAGGGGGCTGGAAATGGATATGGGGCTGGAATGGATGGGTGGGGAAAATATTGAAATGGATAGACGGATGCATAGATGGATAGATGGATGGGGCTTAGATAGATGGATAGATGGATAGATAGATGGATGGACAGGAAAAGGCTGGGATAGATAGATAAGAAAGGCTGGAAATAGATAGATGCATGGATGGATAGATAAGAAAAGGCTTAGAGAGATGGATAGATGGATGGATGGATGGATGGATGGATAACAAAAAGGCTTAGATAGATGGATGGATAGATGAAAGGGCTGGGATGGATAGATAAGAAAAGGCTGAAATAGATGGATAGATAGATAGATAGATAGATAGATAGATGGATAGATAGATGGATGGATGGATGGCTGCTTAGATAGATAGATTGATAGATAGATGGATAAAAAAGACTTAGATAGATAAATATGAATGGACTGAGATAGATGGATGGATGGATGGATGGATGGAATGGATGAGATGGATGGATGGATAGATGGATAGATAAATGGATAGATAAGAACAGGCTGAAATAGATGGATGGATGGATGGATAGATAGATGGATGGATGGATGGATAGATGGAACAGGCTGAAATGGATGGATGGATAGATGGATGGATGGATAGATAGATAGATAGACAGATAAGAACAGGCTGAAATAGATAGATAGATAGATAGATAGATAGATAAGAAAAGGC